AACGACAATCTAACTTCCTGAAACCCCAAGGTTTTTCTTCTTATTTATAAAACAGTTTTCTAAAATGGTATTTTAGGCTGCTTCCCTATAAGTTAGGGAAAATATTGAATTGTTTTTTAAAAAGTCCAATGAAAGCATAATGCTGACTTTGAAAAATTCGACGCTTACTTAGAAGTTTAGAATCTGCGTATACATTTTAGAAAAATACTCGTTTGGACTTGGACAATAGGAGGTGACTTAAAACGTATAAGATCAAATAAAGTCTTGTAATTAAATGAGTTTCAAGCTTATAGTAGTACGAGTACGACTATAGTAAATTGCCGTGTTGCCTGTAAACAACATTAAACCAATCATTTTTGGTTCTCCTTCACATGTAATTATTTAAGATTTAATTCACCACCACGAGTCGTGAGATATAATTAGTTATAGGTCGATCAGTCGATTCGATCGATAAGAAAAAGTCGTCGTCAATTTGACTTTGTAAAAGTAGTCGTAGCTTCTGCATTCTTAACGATGTGAGATAGAACTAGAGATGTGGGCTTCATTTAGTTGGATCACTCATAGTGTAATAAGAAGCCCAATGGGCCGAGAATACATTTGAAACAGCTTCTCAAATTAAACCGTTTCGTACCAAGATCGTAAAAAAAAATCAAAAAACCAAAATCTCTAGATTTTTCCCTCTGCTTGGAGCTAGGTTAGTGGAATTTGTTCATCGTTCGGTGTCGGAGATGGGCGATCAGTCGAGGAATTTCGAAGTGGTGATTTCATGGGGAAGCGATTTGATCAGTGTTTTGGGTGATAGGAATGGATTTGACGGTTTGGTACAAACTCTCGAGCATTTGAGAGCTATCCAGTTCTCCTGCGACCAAGATTTTAGTGAGATACAGGAATCTCTCTTTCGTTGGGTTTACTGTGTTAGATTGAATGGTGAATTTCGGGTGTCTTTTTGTTTTTGTTGCGCAGATTTGAAGAAGAAACTCGATGTTTGCAAGGAGAAGACGGATGAGGCAAATTCAGAGATTGCAGAAGAAGAAGAAGAAATTGAGCGTCTTCAGAAAGAGCTTGATGATGAGCTAGAACGGGAGTGGAATCTCAAGGAAGAGCTTAGATATGTATATTATTTAATTTTGACTCGAGTGAGCTTAAAAAAACATTCGTATGTTGATTCTTTGACATGACCAATTTTTTTTTTTTTTTTACTTGGTTTATGTCAACACATTCATGGCTGATGAACTCAAAGACCTGAATTCTCAAGTGGCATTGATTGAAGAACAAAGATTAGCTATAAAGAGGAACAAGCGAGACCAGTTGAGAACCGAGTAAGAACCACAAATCCACTTTTGTTAGTCTCGATTTCATATTGGTGTCTTTATGTTAAAATGATAGTTTGTATGCTTTTCTTATTGTTCTCTGCAGGAAAAAGCTTTCCATGTATGCTTCTGTCACTAAAGTTATACCGAAGATTGATGATTCAGTAAAGACCTCAGGCTGTATCCTTATTAGTTTCTCTTTATCCTGTGCGCTTTCTAAATTCAAATCTTATTCACCATTGTCCTAAGGTGTTTTAATCCTTGATTGAATATATGACAGATATGGTTGATCGAGACAAAAGGATAATTGAGAAGTTTGAATTCGATACAGACAAGAGGGCTGACTACGAGACATGTAATAGCATTTGGGAAATTATAAAGAGGAAATAGACAGCCTTTCCTCATTGCGTCCTCCACTTTGTGTAGTTGATATTTGTTTCTTATAACTCTTGATTTTGCTTGTTTTGTACCGTCTGACTTCAGTTCTTAGCAACCAAACTGCCTTTGTAAAAAGCTTTTTGCCCACTGTACTATGAACAATATCTGCCTTTATCCCATGTTAAGAGTTCTATTTAAATTGTAATTTGGTGTTGATTCTTGTTGTGTTTATGTAACAACATCATCTTCTAAGAAATTTCTTTGCAGGAATGAGTGCTTTACAATATCTTTAGCTATATGTACTGTACCTTTAGCTTCCTAAATCTTTGGAAACATAACCTAACTCTAGAAAGTGCATTTTAGATTTATCTTTCTGTGCAGATTGTTGCAAATCCAGTTTCAAGTTGTTGAACAAAATTGAGAGGAGCAGATTTTGATCGGTAAGCGGTTTCTGATTCCCAAACATTTCAATATTATTGAACTGTCTTAGGTATTTCAGGATTTTTGATTGAAATCTTAGTTATTGGCATAGCAAACTTGGTGACTGTTACTTAGCTTCTCCACTGAACTATTGAACCTGCTTAGTGTCTCCTCCGAACTGTTGAGGATCCTGCATGCTTCTGGCATTTGGTTGCTTCTATAAGCATTGCATACATACATTACAAAGTTCTGGTAGTTCTGTTCACCAAAGACCAATTAAAATTAAAATTTTGTTTCTCCTTTTATCTTGAAAGTTATCAGCTTAATTTGTAGGACTAACCTCTTGAAGTGGTTGGTTATTCACAACCACCCATGGCACAAATTTATGTGCTGGGTAAAGTTTAGAGGTTTCTTCAGCATACCTTTGTTCAAGCTGCACATTGTCACAGAAATGTCATTATTTTTTTTCCTTAAGTTTGATAGTTTTCCTGTTTCGGCTTTATAAGTCTTAAACTCCTTTTATTTTCATGTGAGCAGGATTACCTGGTTTCCATACCCGTTAATGTAACAATCAAACGCTGTCCTGCTCAATCCAACCATTTCATAACAATCACCCCATTTTTCAAGATTGTTCTCCAATACTAGCCGTTCCGTACAGTGGATGTATCCAAAATGCTTCATCTGCAAGAGAAACATGCAGAGCATATACCACACTTATTAACAGTCAAGCCGTTATATGGAAGATTATACGGTAATTACTCTAATCTTCCTGCATAAACCTGAGAATGATTTGATACGTTTTACTGTTTTGGGAACTTACCACATCAGGGTATGCGTTTATTGCACAGGCATGAATCGCGTTGAGCGCACACTCAGCTTTTCCGTGCTGAAAACAAAGCAACAAAAAACACTAATAAAATGTTGCAACCTAATCTTATGTACTACTGCAAGTGTAGACAAGAAGAGAAGAATCCAAGACTTGGCAGAGAAAGGTTCCATCTGGTCTGATAACAGCGTTGCCCCATGGAACGAGCTGGAGATCAATGGCTGAGATTAAGCCGCTTTCGAAGATCTTAGGCAAGTGATTAACAATGAATTCTGCACAGTAAGGGCATAGAGCTTCGTAGTATAGACTTAGTGTGACTTTCTGACTTGAAGACAGAGATAACAAGCAGAAGAAGATTGTGAAACTTGTGATCCAGAATCTGAGAAGCCTCTTTGATGATGCCATTGATGAAAGAAGATTGCAGAGAGAAATGTTTTGGTTCTTGCTTTATTCTTCAGTCGCATTAACAAGCAAAGCAAGATACCCAGAAATAAAAGTTGTTTCAAAGATTCTTTGATAAATAATGTATTGTTTCATCGCTTTATGTTTTGACGTTGAACCGTTCGTTGTGTCGCTGTTTTGTTTGAAAGAAAACGGCATGTAGTGCTTTGTTTATATTTCAAAACGGCGTGATGGTTCGATTACTGGGTTGGTTTAGCT